CAAAACTGCTTGTCCCTCCTCACTGAGCGCAAAACACTCGACTAGATCACCGCTCTTTGCTGTCCTTGCTCCGAAATGGTGGAACGAGCTCTCTGAAGACACCAGGACCACAGAGAGCCTTCACATCTTCCACGCAAACTAAAGACACATCTCTTCAGACTCTACCTCGACTAAAGACTAACAAATTGTATCACTTAAATTGTACTTATAACGCCACTCATCTATAGCAAATTGTAAATTGGCTTATTGGAGGAAATTGCACTTTCTTGTTTCTTGTTCTTCCGAGTTTGTACCCTATGGTTGAATGCACTTATTGTAAGTCGCTTTGGATAAAAGCATCAGCTAAATGACATGTAATGTAATATAGTTTTGTCTTGATATTACAAATAATATTTTTTTGTCATTGTCATAAAACAACAGTATGAGTTCTCATTTATTCAAAATATTTCTTTCATTTGAATTCTCTAATATACATTTTTATTTTTAGCACTGTCCCCAAAAGACAGTATTGAACATCAACAAGCACAGAGTCTTTTAGACCCAGTCCGGAGACTGGGAGGTGTGGGGGTGGGAGGGGTGGCACTATCTTTGTTTGACTTCCTCTCCCCTTAGTGCTTGATGAATATGTGTGGCGAGATGATCTTGACCTCTTCATTCAGAAACATAGAGGTGAAGAGTGGAGGGGAGACAGAAAGACTACTCCTTAAATAATCTCAAAAAAGCCTGGAATTCATTCTGCACGCATACTGACACTACAACTGGAGCGTCACAATTTGTTTGGTTCTTCCTTTGGTGTGAATTTGACCAAATTGTGTTGGACATTTAATCAATTACACACATTAAACAACAACTTCCACGGTGGCCAATCCCTTACGAGACAAAATTCTTTGAAACCTCAGTAATAACACGGAAATAAGCAGAGATAGGGGGATTGATATAGTATCTGTGTACACATGTTAACATTCCTCCTGGTGCCTGTCCACTTGACGGAGACAGGAGAGACAATTGACAAGCCTTAGAGAGGTTTGTGTCTACTGAGCAAGAATCGCCCACATTGGTGTGTGAGTGGGCCAGTATAAGTGGTTAACGTAACTGAGCAAACTCAGCGCAGTGAGAGACACTCAAAAACCTATCAGAGCCTTTTGTCCTGCTGACAAGAGCTCTTCACCGAGACAGACATCCATCTAGAACAACTTATCAAAACCAAGGCCACTGTTCCCTCTGAGGGCAGAAATCTGGCAGCTCCTTTCAGAACAACCTATGTTCAGTCCACATGCGGAGGCTGTTTGTACAGTCGCGATAATTAAAAGGATTTCCACCATCAGATCGCCTCTAATCATCAGCCTTCTAAGTGGCTCCCGTTAGGCCCCAACCACATCACGCCTCTCTTGCATGGTGTTTTTTTCAGACATCAGCCACAGAGCCCCGATGCTCCTCCTTGTCATACTGGGCCAATGCAGCCATTTAAATTAAGCAAAAGGTAGACTACTCTGCCACTTACTAAATGTGTTCAGAGGATGTATGACGTTTGTGAAGTGTTTGCCATTTAAACACGTCTAATGTGGTATTTTGGATAATATTTGTTTATCAATTAATCAGTTCAACAAATCAGTGTAACAAATAGTAAGTATGGTTTTTGCCAACATTGACAACCCCCTCATATACTGTCCCTCCACATTTTTTTTTAATTGATGAATACACAATTTGGAATTGCCTATTAAAAGAGTAGAACAACTTGGCACACACTGTTTACCTGCAATTGGCTTTTCAGTACTATAATGAGTAAAAATAATGAATAATCATAATTAATCATTTATAATAATCTTTTGACTAAAAAGACTATAAAGTTTGAAAAAATCAAATAGTTCTGCTTGATCTGAATAAGCACAAAATGTGGGTAATCAATATCTACTTGGTGTAACAGCATGCATTTTCATGTCAAGTTCTGCTTGCGGGCTTGTTGTAGTCGATATACACAGATATAGCGTCAAGCGGCGCTAGAACATGTAGATTGGGTGGACAAAAACATGTAAGGACAGAAAGAGAAAAGCTCTCTGTGGCTCCCTCTGCAGATCAGCATCAGTTGGTGCTGCCTCGCGGTCAGCTGCTGCACACATCCTCTGAGGGGGGTGGAACAATGAGTTCAAAGTTTAAAAAACAAACACCAGAGAAATGCCGTCGCTATGTCCTACTGTGGTACACTTTTGAAGCCGTGCAGAGGGAAGAGACCTCAGTAGATGTGATCCTGTAAAGGGCCAGTATTATTGTATTACTGATAAACCACTACGCTGCACCTCCATAAGAATGCAACTAACTGAAACGAACAATACATGGTTGAAAAATGCCAAAGTTACCCTTAACAGGTATTTGCAAAAGTAAAGCAAAGCTTAAAGATTTCTACACACTACATTCATTTATAAAGACAATGTAGAAAACATTTAATGCCTGTGATTTACGACTGTCAACCAGGCAGCATCCCAAACAATCTGTATACCACAAAGTAAATATAATATTATGGATTGCTAGTATTTGAGTGCTCTAGATACACACAAACATGACAGGTGTTGAGAAAATCCACAGTTGCTGCTGCATGAGCAGGCAATGTGCAGTGGGCTTCATAGAGCTTCTCCTCTGAAAACAGCCTCCAGCAGTGTTAAATTACTGTAAACAGGTGGCACTTTTGTATTTGGTTTGTATTAAACTTGTGTTTTTCCCCAAATGTTAAAACTAGACTCAAAAGCAGTCCAGTGGGCCCCTGGCCATGTCCGACACATCTGGACAACCACCCTGGCTCCAGCGGTGGACTGTCTCCATTCCAGGATGTCCTTCACTGGTATTTGTGAGGAGTAACTTACAATGGAGGTCAGCACTTGAATAGCAGCCACTGCTCCGGACAGACACAGGAAGCGGGCAGGAAGCTGACAGAGCATGGAGAGGAAGAACACTCGGAGAGAAGAATAGGCAGAGGGACAGCTCGCAGTATCCCCTCGCTGCTGCGATGTATATATCCACTTTCAAAAGGGACATGTGCACACATGATCATCACTTGGTAGCAATGAAATGAATGATAGTGACGGCGCTGGTGCTGGAACATAGTCCCCCTCGGATTCCCTTCAAGGGAAATACTGTTATCTCTGAGAGCTAAGTTGCTGTTGTTTGCACTGTTGGAACCATTAGCGCTGTTAGCACTGTTTGCCCCTTTAGCATTGTTAGCACCATTCGCTTTTAGCCACCGGCTCCACATGGGAGGAGTTTCCCTTCATGTTTAGATAACAAACCTACTTGTTTATGTTTTAAAAAAGGTTTGGGTTCATATGAAACCTTCTTCAGAAAGTCCAGAAGGAATACCACCTCCACGTCACCGGCGGCTTCATGTCCGTGTGAGAAGCAGCTTGGACAAAAAAGATACTCTCAATTTTGTATTGACCACCCACCTTGTGTTTTAAAAAAATACTCAAGCTTGTTCTAATCCTGATCATTGTCAGGGTGACTTAAAGAAACGTTGGCTTCAAAAGCAATCTGTTACTTTCCATAATTTCCATAATTTCCATCAATCTATCTGTCACTTTATATCTTTATAGGTATGTCTCTCCTTCCCCCATTGTATACCATCTGTGTGTCTGTTCCCGCAACTATGACACATTTCCCATGCTGCTGGTGCGTGTGTGGGTTTGTGTGTGTGTGACCCACTTCTTGTTTTTGGTAGAGTAATAAGGAAACTCATAGTCAGTGCTTTTTTAAGGAGCTTATTGTCATCCACACACTCCTAATGGGCCAATCTGTTTTGAGAAGAATAGCAGGAAATAGAAAGTGGTTGGGTAAGTTGGTCAAGGCCTGCTGCCTTGCTCAGACAATGTGGTAACCTTTCTGTGGTTCCATCTATTGTTGTCCACCACACCCCTCAAGTGGCTCACTTGCACATTGACATAGTTATTCATTCATCTTACAATAACTAAAAGTAGAGAATATGACAAGAGAATAAGACATGTTTTTGCTGTGTATAATGACACTAGCATATACACACACAATGTATTAATAATAATATTGATGATGATGATACCCCTAAAATGCTTATCATCATATCATATATTAATGATAAAGCATTTGCGATAATTATTGCGACATCTGTGAAAAATAGTAAACAAGTTACATTTGTAGGAGGGGGGGGGGGAGTTTGTATGCATAACTGTAGACAATATTATCATTTGGGTTAATTATTATTTTCAGTTTATCACCCCTTCCAGAGAGTAAAAGTCAGGATCTCTTTGCCTCTTCTCCATCAATTTTGACGTTTCTTTTAAAAATCTGTCACTCACAAGACACTAGCAACTTAAACGTTTGAAAGCAGAACTACTACATTGTTTTCTACTTTTACTTTGTTAAAGAAGTACAAACTGTATATATATATTCCATCACTGCTAGCATACAACACAACTGAAGGTACTTTTTGTACCGTGCATAAACTACTGCTGAAAGACCTCAGGCAGCATACAAGTCTCCATTAAGTTGTATACTCAATAAGCAGCTTAATCACCACAGTGAGCGCAATGACCAAGATACCGCTTGTATATTCACATACTCATTAGCTAAAACTATTCCACCTGCATTTATTTGTAACTGCGCATCTTTTTGGTTCAAGAGAGAAAACCAAAAGACAAGGTACTCAACATCTGATCAGAAGTTTTACTGCTGACTTTGTGTTGAATCATTTTGCAGTGTTTCCTCATGTTCTTATAAGTACTAAATGAGACAAACGTTCACACTGGGACCAATGCGGTTTGTTTTGTTGGCTTCAAAGTCCGGTGAATCACAAGGTTTCTTTTTCCAGTTGCTTCCTATTTTTCTGCTGACCAGCAGGTGCCTTGAAATCCATGACCCTACGCCACACACACACACACACACACACACACACACACACACACACACACACACACACACACACACACAACTCTAGGTTTCCTTCTTTTTCATACATTCAGAAATCTAGTGGTCATACTTACAATTATAGGACAGACATGGCCAGTGACAGGGTCCATGCTGCGTTACCTGAACCTCCCAGTCAGAGTGAAGAGAAGAACAAAGAAGAAGAGAAGGCTTTTGGGAATATCTTTGCTGAGTTAGAATCTGTAGAACTGCCTCTTGGAGCCACCTTAAGGTAAAACTGTGCAATATTCTTTCTTTTCTTCATTTTAAGTTAAGCTGATCTAAAAAATGAATGACTTCAAATGCTGAGTTGTCTTAATATTCCCATCAAAAGTCCACAACCAAAGAAAAGTGCATATATTTTATGTTGGCTTATAATACCAAAATTTAGCTTTAAGTGCAATCTGCTCTTAAATGGCCTCATAGGCAGCGGCGAGTGCTGTTTTATTCCATGTACGTATTGCTTCAACAAACTGACAGGTCTGAATTAATTTGCTCTCTGTTATCAAAACATCTACAGTTGTGTAATTATGTTTTTTGTATTTTTTTAACTTCAGAAATGAACAAAAAGGCAGTTAAACACTGCACTTTTTACACAAATAATCTAAAGTTGAATATACAAAACGATCTATCCATTCTCAATCAATAAAACTACACGTTATAACTATAAATATAAGTTATTTAGACAGCATGTTTTAGTTCCTGATACCTTTATGTAACGTCCAGGACAAGATGTGACAAATAAAGCGGCTAACTATGAATTCAACGAGTTAGTGGGCCCCCTATCGGAGAGACCTCCCGCTGAACCGCTCCAGCTGCCATTTTTCTAGACACATAACAATCATGGCGGAGAATGAAACCCTGGAGTGTATAACGGAGCACGAGCGGATTTTACAGGAAATTGAGAGCACTGACACGGCTTGTGTTGGTCCCACTCTCCGGTAAGAATATACGCTTTCATAAGACCCTCAACAATTATACTGTCCGACTGTATTGTTACATCTCTTACGTTTTGAGACCTTTTGTTCATAAGCTAGCTTGGCTGCTCTAGCCACCGGCTGGCTAAAATTAGCATTAGCTATCCAACAGGCCAACGTTATATGGCGTTGAAACGAAGCGTGAGCCTCGCTGGGTTCTCTGCTAACGGGCCAACGGTGATCACTGGTTCCTGCAGTTGACGCAGCTATAGAAAAACTGCGCAGGGTGTGTGTTGCATGTTCGTTGCATGTTCTGTGTCTTGATGGACGGCTGGTGACCTGTCATGATCTAAACATCAGTTGTGGGTGTGGCGGCTGGTAAACCACATCTTGTTATCATTGTGTAGCTGATGTTAGCAAACAGTGCTAACAGTTGTTTTGTTTAGGAAATAACGTTAGTTGTTAATGACATATAAAAATGTCTACTCCTCGCATGTCAATACAACAAAACAATTGTTGGACGAGTCATCTAATTAGAGAACTCTTAGTTGTGACCTGTCCGATAATGAGCTCGTTAGCAGTCATATAGGCTACAACTAATGTTAGTATCAGACTAACGTTCTACAGCACACGGCATTGGTTAAGGACAGTTAGCCACCAAGCTAGCTTCAAAGGTCGCCATGAACAGTTGGACGTTTGACAAGCTGCTGTTCAGTTAATTGCCTCTACCTCTCTCACACACACACACACACACACACCTGTCTCGTTGGCATGCCCTTAGACCGTCTTTCAGCATACCTGAGCCGCTGAATATGTGCCCTGAAGCCATAGACATCTACAGCTTGGTTAGTCTCAGTGTACGATCTTAAGTGTTTGATATTCCCAGTTACAGGTTGAAGGGGAAAGGGCAGGTTCTCTATGTCACTGCAGTTAGAAATGCAGGAATAATCCGTGCATGTATGCATTTGTAAATTAAATTATCTGTTCCTTCTGGTAAGTACAGAAATAATTTTACTTGCAGTTTCGGGAATCAAACTTCTTTGAACCAACCAGCCACCAAAACGCCAAAGTGTCATAATGACGTCTGCATACATTTGACTGCACAAGTGTTCATTTCCCTTCCGTGCTCAGTGCAGGTGATTATTTGCTTATACAGCGCTGGCTTCCTGAGTTAGGGTTGCCTGGCAGATACAGCTTCTTCTGGCTGTGGACTAATCCATAATTACAAAAGCATTTTACCTGATACATATGTGCCTTGGGCTAGATGTTATGACTGAGTTAACATCAGGACCGTGATGATTGAACATAAATAAGAAGTAGGAACAATCTTCCAAGCTGATCATTGCTAGGGCTCCACCTGGGCCTATATGACAAAGCAAGATGAAATTCTTGAAAAACATAGTTAATATATACCAAAGCCATTTACATAGATTCTGGTTACGAGTGGTTACTGCGTTGTTGGAGTCTTTGCAGTAGTAGTTTATGTTGCTGTAGCTGCTTGGTTTCGTTCATTTTTAATTGTTTATTATGATGAAGGAGATGGTATATTTCAGACTGGGAGATTACCATAGTTGTGAACACTGACACCCAAGGCTTGCTGGACCCATCCATGTGATGAGGTCCATTGGGGTTTTTTTTTCTCCCACTTACAGTGACTTATTTTAGCGAGTTGAAACCTAATACTCTAAAATTCTATTCATCTTCCGCAACTCCTCCTGCAGATCCTTTTAAGCTTGCCATTTAGATTAAAATCCACCGCTTTGCAATGAATCTCAGAATAGGTTTGCCCCCCAAGGATCCATCACTTTGATACTCCTGATCTGGTGAGATGAAGGCTCGGTTTGAATGACTTTTCAAAATGGTAGAGCAATTTCACGACTGCAAGGCTATACTGGAACGCACCGGTCATCTAAGCTAGCTGACAACATGCTCTGTGACTGTATGAAACATGGACTGTATACAACGATCTTTATATACAAAACACACAAAGTTACATCTCCTCTCAACTACGAAGTTGCAATCCTCTGGGTCATCGACTACTTCACTCAGAACAGCTGGCAGTCCCAGCTGACCACAGCTGGGCAGTGTTGCCTAAAATCTGTATCACAATATAATTTTGAAGCACAAACTGCAATGCGATGTCAGGGTATATTCATCTTTCTTATGAAGGTCAATGTAATTACTTCTGAAGGGGCTGAACTCTGGTACTGCACGGCATACTGTCACTCATCGCAAGGTAATCGTGTCACAACCTGGCTAGGTAATGACAAATACGGCGCAGATAGATATGTTTATTTGTACTTGAGCAAAGAAATGCTTCCTGTTGCGGAGTATGGAAGTCATCAGTAATGTCAACATGCCTGCGTGTTTAAGGAAGTGTAGGTGTTGTCAGCGAAACCAAGGGATGCTAAAGTTACAGCCAAAACCAAAATAACCACCAGCAGTAGTCGAGAGAAACTTTAGCCGTGGAGGAACACAGCTTATTTTTACTTGTAGTTTGAAATTGTGAACTTTGTGTCGTTAATTTACTAAAAATGTGTTTGTATATGACGTTAATGTCTGTTGTGGTAAAATGCAGCCGGTGGGCGTAAATCTAAAATATGGAGCTGATTGTGCAGATCAGACAACGACTTTACAGATGATCACAATCACTGCTCGTCATTATGGGGGTTGGTTTATGGCTTTTACCCGACGGCTCTTTGTCTTTACGATCCTTCACCGTTTTTTGGTTTGTACGCCCTCTGGTGTTTTGGACAATAATGCAGAGTACAGCACATAGTGTTAACGCCTCATACTCGGACTTTGCTCTCCTTCTGCAGCAATATAAACTAAGCTTTCCAGAAAGCTTTGGGCTTTCATTTTTCAGTAATAGTGTACTTCAACATACTTATATTCATGACGCTTTTCATTATTCTTCTAAATGACTATGTTTATTACTTCATAGCATTATTCCAAGACCACAGATCATGTGGAAAGAACTTAAGCAATAACCGATCAGTTGACATGAAAAGTTATCTACCTGTATTTGTCTGTGCTATTTTAAGAAACAGACTGCTTGTGACTCCACTCTGGAGTGCTTGCAGAGCTGGAAGAATCTACTGATGTGTCTCTTTCCAAACACATTTGATCTGAAAATCACAGGGTGTTTTTTTTACCTTAGTGTTTTTGTGTATGAACTAAAAAATGCATAAAGGTGGCAACTTTGGGAGATTTTGGCTTTCTACTGATTTCTACCATGATTTGGTGTCGGAGATGAAAATAACCCTGTTCTTTCCAATAAACTGTATTATGCATCCTTTCTTTGTGTAAGTAGCAGCTCCCCTACTACGTCACCAGATGGAGCCGTTAGTCCAGCTCAAATAGATGGTGTTTCTTGGTAGTGAAGGCTTTGGGCTCAAAGTCTTTTACCATTTGGGATTTCCTTCTGTAGTCTTGCTATTAAATCAATCGTACTAATGTTATGTGCTGCTTTTCATTTAGGGGGTTTAAGTTTTAATACATTGTGCTAGGATATGATTGAGAAAGTGAAGGTCTCTTTTCATTGCATTTTGGAACATTACAAAGAACCATAAACAGTTAAATTAGGAATACTGCTCCATTATTTTCAAAAAGATATAAAAAATATTCTAATCACACAGTGTGGGACCATGTTTTTGGAAATGGTCATCCTTCACTTTAGAGTGGTTTGGCTAGTATACTATTGTTGTTACAAAATATTGTTCATCAGTAAAATGATTTATCTATTATCCGTATTGGATACTCACCGGGACAGCTGAGCTTTTTCATCAGACTCGCCTTGTATCGGTCACAAGGACGAGAGCATGGAGGACAGAAGGACAGGACATGCTTCCTTTGCACTGCACTAAGACTACAGTAAATGCCCTCTGGTTGAATCCATCCCACTACTACCATCCAACACTGCGTCTGGTTTGCTTACATCCTTACACTATTGTTTAGTCAGTGATGTTATTTTCATTTCATTTATTATTATAATTTCTTAGTACCTAATTACAGATTTGTTTTACTATATTTACCTGTGTAGATACAGATCTGCTGTTTTGAATAAATAACCCTCTTGAAGGGTTAATAAAGTAACTATCCATCTAAACTGAGTATTCTAGTATTTAATATTTATGTGATGGGAAAATTGTCGTTATAGGCCAAACTCCATGTCAACAACTCAAAATGATTATACACTTGAGTTGTCGCCCTCTCTTTCTCTCACACACTATGATAGTTATGTACACACAACCATCTGTGCCTGTTGAACCCAGGCCAGGATATGACAGGGGAGTGTGTGTGTGCGTGTGGTTGGATGGCTAGCAGTGATTCATAGCAGGGTTCTTTACAATAATGTGCAAACAACTGGCCACCTAGGCCTCCACCACTAGCACAAAGATGTTGGCCGGAGTGTTTTTGTAGTGCTGCTGTTCAGCATGCACACACATCATGGGGCGTTGTGAATGCCAGTGTAAGCGGTCGCACTGACACAGGGTTGGAAATGATTTGACCCTTGAAGAGGACACCGTCATGCCTCTGGTCATTGTAGGGCGTTTCTGTATTAAAAAGGGATTTAAGAAGGTGAAGGAAAAAAAAAACAAGCTTAGTCAGGGCTGGAGGTAAGCTACAGATACAACTGTGAATAATCCCTGTATCAATATGTTTTGCTGCAGCTGCATGATACATGAACATTGGCACACAACATCTGTATCAGTAGGTGAAGAAAGCAGAAAGCCGATTAAGCTTCTGACGCTATCTAAAAACATACTGCTACTGACTATACCAGGACTAGGTAGCACTTACTAGCACTTATAGCACTTAGTAGTGGAAGAAATAGTACCCTCTTGATTCTTGTTGCCCAGCCCAAGCTGAAATCAAGCAAAAAAGATGCATTATTTTCAGGGTATGCGCTAGTGTTGTAACGGGCTCAGAGTTGTCGTTAAGACTGGGGAAAAAAGCTCTATACAGATGCATAACAAAGCTCTAGGCTGCATTTTGAAGCATTCATGTAATTTATTTTCAAGTTGTGATAAATGCATTTAGTGTTTCTGGCATGTGAGCAAAAGTCACACCTACATCCTTTCTTGTGGCTACAATTTGTGTACAATCTGTTGTCGATTTCCACATCCAGCAGACACAGAGCAACATCAGTGTTGGAGTGGACCTGTTGGGAGGAAGTCCCAAGATTCAGTGAAGACCATAGGAAGAGTAGTCACTGCCCTGGTGGTGCCTAACGGGGATCTAAATAAATTAATTTGCTGTGTACTCTAGTTTGGACTCCACTAGCTTCCTGCCGAATGCTCCTTTATGTCACTCCTAGTTTGCTAACTTTGTGTGCTGATAGCTGCTTGGCTGCTCAGACTTATCATTCAGATTGCTGCCTGCTGTTCCTCGGGGCACTGTCAATTTAAAAATATGAGCCAAAGATGATGAAGCTCTGTTGACCTGAGGGGAACGGTAGTGTTGGTGATGACCCGCTGTGGGTTTGTCACTCTGAGTGGGTCCCCTCTGCATTGTACATCTTTAGGATTAAATGGCTGTTTCTTATTAAAGCTTATTCTGAATGCACGTGAGCCATCTCAGGGTTTTGTATCAAATGCTAATTTTACATAATACTTACAATATAACAATGTATTTTCATGCCCACCATATCACTCCCAGACACACTAATGACCAACATTACCTACTCCTAAAGTCTTTGTGCTTTCCCTCCCACATCTGATGGTGGTTGTCCCTGCAGTGGTCCTGTCGTACACTTGGCTTACTACTCACAATTATTTCAATCTTCTCTGTTATAGATATTGAATGTATTGTACATCTTTTTCATTGTTCATTCTGTACACATGACATCCATTCTAGTCTGTCCATCCCGGGAGTGGGATCCCAGAGGATGTCGCATGTGTACAGACTGTAAAGGCCCCTGAGGCAAATTTGTAATTTGAACTAATGCAAAACCTTTTCCAGGCTGTTAAGGGCAGCTATTGCAACTAAGGAAACCCGATCAGGCTGCATACGGACATGTATGAACTAATCACTTTTCATTCTAACGCTTCTTCCTGTTTTTCCTCTTCCTGCCTTACCCCCTTCTTCCGCCCTCAACTCCCTTTCCCTCACCCCTCTCAGGTCCATTTACGATGACCAGCCCAATGCCCACAAGCGCTTCATGGAAAAGCTGGATGCCAGGATAAGGAACCATGACCGCGAAATTGAAAAAATGTGCAATTTCCACCACCAAGGCTTTGTGGACGCCATCACAGAGCTCCTCAAAGTCCGCGCTGATGCTGAGAAACTGATGGTGAGAGACAGAAGTGTCAATTGGACCTCTGGTCAGCGGAGGGGTTAGCAGCAGTTTGTCTGCAGCCCACCATAGCTGCCATATCTCAAAATAGATATGGATATAGATAATAGCTTTCTTTCATGGGGTCTTGTGTGTATTTCAGAGATAACTAAAACTTGCTCTGAAATATTTCATTACATCACTATGCGACTAGTCATCATCCAATAACACCATCACTCCCCCAAAATGGGTTTCTGTTTATTATCTTCCATAAAAAGTTGGGGATTTATGTTTATAATTCATTATTCTATTATACGCAAAATATGATTGGTTGGAACCTCTGATGCAAACTCAACAGATAAAAATCATAAGGTTTTCAGTAATATTTATTAAATCCAAATGCCTTTGCATGCTCACTTCATGTTTATAGGGCTGTTCCCTGTAATGGGACAGCTAATGAGAGTAGACACTGTCTCATAAGGGAAAGGTCATAGGTTCTACTCCTCTGTAGCTGTCCAGTGCAGCATTAAGTTGTAAATAATCAAAATCCTAATTAAGTCTGATCTGTCTCTTATCCTTTCACCGGGGTACCAAGCATAGACCAATAAAAAAAGAAAAGAAGCAGTGATTATGTACTCGGTCCCCCCGCCGTTTAGAAGCTCTGCTGTTGAAAGGACTGTCATCAAATAGCCGACTGGTAAATTGGGTCATGGCTCTCAGCCGTGTGACAAGAGCCGAGAGTTCAAAAATCCTCATCCAGGATCGAGAAGTTTGTCACTGAATTTGTGAGAAAGAGCCTGTCACAAGTCATTAAACCCCATGAAAGGCCCAGTGCACTGGCGACGGGTTCAGGTCCTCGCTGCCTGGTTAATCTGAATTTGCCTGCCTTTATCCTTGCTCCTTCATGGACAATGAGCTGATTACAAGGCTGACCAGCTGCAGTGAGGGAGGTAGTCAGGGAAAGGAGAGGGCATGAGGGGGGTCAGACCGAGGGACAGAGGACCGATGGACACGTGACAGCATGTGTGGCACATTCATACATCTAAATCAACATTTTTTTTTTTGTGTCTCTCTGGGAAGGGGATTTTTTTTTAAGAACTACTCTTGCTTCTTCAGGCCACATCACACCCCGTAGTTCCTAACCCTGAAGGCCAGCAAGCTGTTTGTGGTTCTTTCCCAACAAATAAAGGATGAAGCCCACAACTGTTGAAAAAGAACAGAGAAAAGTACATACAGAACATATATGTAATTTATAAAGCATATACAATACGAAACGTCATATTCATCATCACATATCACCTTCATTCAAATATGTTCTTCTTTTACTCTCTAACAAACGACAACAAGAACAATTTACAGATCCTTTTGTATAGCAAGATATGTATATGCAACAGTTCCAAAAACGGCTTTTAAAAGCTAATGCTGGTTGTCTGTATTTCTTACATCTTAAAAACTACTGTACAATATTCTGTGTACAGTACACTGTAGGTAATATGTTGCTTAGTTTCCTCCCAAAACAGTGGTCATTGTAGTTTTAAACAAAGATTGCTCAAGCAGGAAGACACGGTACACATGTGGATTGGGCATTGTTTTTAGTGGCTCGTGATTTATTATTGGACTGGAGGAATACGACACAATATTATTTGCTGATGATAAGAACTTTGCAGTAAAGAGTTGTGGGGCTGTACAGTTTAATGTCTGTCTGTTTGTTCTAAAAGGGTCAAGTGACAGACACTAATCGAAGACTCCAAGAGGCAGGGAGGGAGGTAAGTCCACCTACCGTGTGTATGCATAAGGGACATAAGGGGGGCTTTACATTATGTTGGCAGGATGTATGCCTGTTTGTTCACTGCATAGACAGTTGTGCATTTGATGTGACGGTCCTCTAAACCCGTCGATAACCGTTGTGGCCTCCTCCTTATTGTGTGTTTCTTCCCTCAGGTGACAGCTCAGACAGAAGAGGTGATCCGCTGTCGGATCCAGCAGAGGAACATGGCCACCACTGTCGAAAAGCTCCATCTCTGTATACCAGGTAGCACGGCTGCTAGTTTAGCAACCCTCAAGTCGCTTTGCGTTTAACGAGCTGTTACCTCAGGGTCCTACTGGAGGCCTAGAATATGACCAATTCCCAACTCTCCGTAACTTGTTGAATAGATACACTAGTTTTTAGATGTATGCCATGTTAAAATCTTCTCTAAGCTTGTTTTAGTTCTTCTTTATTTCTTACATACCATGTGTGTGTGTGTGTGTGTGTGTGTGTGTGTGTGTGATTCCTAAATAATATAATTACTAACATAAATAAGGAATAGTAATCTTTAGAAGCTGAGTATGAAGGTGTTTTATGAGCACTTAAGGGGCCATATGCTGCAGATTTGATTATTATTTGAACATTTACGTCCAGTATATTTTATTTTATGCATAAGATCATTCGCAGCAAATGTGAGCAAAATGCTTATATCAACCTGTTTCTTGCGTTCTTTTGCAGTGCTAGAAAAGTACAGTAAACTAAAGGAGCAGCTCGAGTCCAAAAGGTACTGATATTGAAAAGCATCTCATCACAGTGAGACTGATGTCTAACCTTCATATTAAAAACAACTCTCTGTTCGTTCCCCTCAAACACTACTCAGAATATTGATACATCACCCACTCCTCTCTCTCTCTCTCTCTCCCCATCACTCACTTTCTCTACTGAATACTGATAGGATGTCTACTCCGTGGTCTGAGTTTGAAATCCCCCCCCCCCCCTCCCTCTTGCACCCTCCAGTCGCTGCACTCACTACAAAAAACAGCGACCTAAGGAAGGAAATAGCAGAAGTTAAAATGTCAAATTCTTGAGGTTCCCAGATTCTGAAAGTGTAACTTGTCACAGGCTAATGATCCGGTGCAGCCGTGAGCAGTACCGTAGCATTAGAGTACCATGCTACGTCCCACCTGGCTGTGGTTGCTAGTACATCTGATCATAGCCCAGCACAGTGCTATAGGACTAAAGTGCAGGTTTAAAAAAGGCTGTTGTTGCCACTAGTCGGTAGGTGTATGGCCAGTGGCTCAACAGATGTACAGTCTACCTTGTAACCCACACAGGCAGCATAGTTTTCCTTGTCCTTAAAAACACAGCAGAGCAGCTTGTTTTTGCTGACTTCCTGTGGGTTAACGTCTCTCCTTGTATCAGTGACATAGGGTGGTGTTCTCCAGGGTGCGTCAGTACTCTGTGACATCAATATGGCCATTGAGACAGGTTCTTCCTCAAAAACACATCAAACTATTGACATTTCTGTTGTCAAAGACTTTGTCTTAAAGTGGATTGTTGTTTTGGCAACTTGTCATAGTGTGTTGACATCACTATATAACAACAAAACCAAAAATAATTAATTTGTAAATAAATGAACACTTATTTTTGTGTCCTGCCATTTACAGCCATCCCTCATAGAATTATACAGACACATCAATCAATGAAAAACTGTTATTCCAATAGAAAATATTACCCCTTATGATTAGACAATTTATCAACGAAAAGCAGTGGTTGTGGTGGAGCAGCCATTATTTTATAATTGTCATTATTTTCTTGCAGTCCACCTGCAAGAAAATAATGACAAAAAAAAGAGTAGTGTATTTTTGGAGCTTGCATCAGGAGGAAATTAAACCGCAGCAACAAAACGTCTCCCTGTGCAATGTAACCGATATTGCACACATTAGGGAAACACAATCTGTCACAAGCATCAGTGTTGTAAGCCCAGAGTCCACCTGCTCTTCAGCACCAAAGTCTTGCTCTTTCTCCTGATGCTTGAGTGCAGCTTGATCCAGGAACACAATGGATCGAAGGTGTGGACTCAAGAGACAATGACCTGCCGTTGTTAGAATTAATTTCCTTCATTCGCACATGAGCCAGGAGCAAACATGGTGGAGGTGTAGCCTCGGCTCCTAGCTGGGATAGCTTAGCTTCCATCTGGGCCCTTCCTTTCTGCGCTGCCTTTAGTCACGTTTTACTGTTACATCTACTGAGTAGTCTGATTATCTATATTGAGGATTTAGTGTATTTTCATTGTTTATCCCCTGCTATTTCATGCATTAGAAATACATTCCAAAAATGTGAAAAAATGACTGTAAAGCCCTCTGAGGAAATTTGCGATTTTGGGCTATACAAAATACAATTTATTGAATTGAAAAGGTTTTAAAGCCCTATCCTAATGACCTAATATACAAGTCATCAGTGGGGCTGTGGTAAGAGGCCAAACTGACAGCTAAAGCTTCCTATTAATACGTTCCTTCTAAATAAAGGGAAGTGTGCACAGTTTATACTTGCATCTCTTGTCCATTCTGAAGAAGTGTGTTTTATTTGTAATCACACATTCAGCCGAACCAATCTGCAAATACGTCCAGTATTTGTGACACAGGTTTCAACTGCTCTGTGGGTTTGATTGAACTTCATTTTTACCCCATGAACCTCATGTTTGGTCGTATTGACATGCCTATCCGTATAACGAGGGGTGGGGAGTTCACTTTGGACAGGAAAATAATGACCCTTTCTTGTTCATTACTGTGTACCAAAAGGAAGAGGCCATTCACTGGCAGGACAATTGACCCTCAGTGTGCCCTTGTTCACAACAAGGCCCCCTCATTGCAGCTCTGTTACGGCCCACAGCCAATCCGAGGCAATTAGACCATTGTCGGCCCCCCAGTGGGATTTGTGTGTGTAGTACACACACAACTAATGGCATAGGTATTTACTTAATAATCAACAATAATTTGAAGCGAGTTACTATGCTGCAAATGCACCTTATTGTGCTTACTGTATGTGCCAGTGCCCAGGTCCCATTGTGCTCCGTGTCGCCCCAGTTGCTGGACCTCTGTACTGTGATAGACCTTTTCACCGTACCACTTATGAGGCTGTCTTCTGTTCATGTGGATACAACACAGTTTACACTCGCTGACCGACCAATTAGATCTCTTCACAGCCTGCCTATCAGCCTAATGATGGGAGCTCAGCACACTGACCCAAGGCTGAACCCCTGTGACGTGTGCACACTATAAAAGAGCATGATATCTTTGTAACACAGTGCATGCAATGTATTAGTTATGCATGTTCCTCACCATTTTATTATATTTAATTACCACTTTGAGGGAATGTTGCAGTGTTTGTGCCAAAACATTGTTGGACCCATTGTGGGCGTAAAGATAAAAAGCTAAAATTCAAGACAAAAGAACCAAAGGTCTACATGTAAATAACCCACAATGTAGCTGACATCATCCGTTTCAGGTGTGTTGTGCTATTAGCAGCGAACCTAGCCTGGAGCGTACATGCAGAATATCAGGCCTCGCTTCTCACCTCTGAGAAGCGAGGCCTGATATTCTTCCCAGTGAGCACAAGATGTAATTTCAACATTATAATATTGTTGAAATGAGGTCTGAACGCTGAAGACCTCATTTCAATGTCTTTTCAACTGGCATAAAAGTGGACGTAACATCAACGTACTAAGAAAACATCAATTTATTGATAATGTTTCGTAACGTAACGTTGAAAGAGATACGATATTATCATTAAGATTTTCATAATAAGTAGTGAACTGGTCGGCGAAAATTGGTGTACGCAAAGACGTGATTTCAACGTATTTAAAATTTCTGTTAAAACGTCATAGGGAACTACAGACTGATGTTAACAATATGCTTTAAGGACATAATAATGCGGGCAGTTTCAAACATTACTTGTAAATACACAACTCTGCTCACACCGGTAACGCGCATGCACAAGTTCTTTCTGTCACAATATCCGACGTCCGATCAGCAGACTCTACACAACTCCCTCTGGAAACACAAAGGACTTACTACTACTTTGTGTTCTGTAGTACTCTCCAACACTCGTTAACGCTCTGATGTAAGGAATTGGGGACAAACTTTCATGTTCTCTTTTGTGTAAAAATGTACAGTTCCTCCAACATTTACCATTATGACTCTGGAAAAGTAATACAGCGGGCAGAAGGGCCTGATATTATGAAAAACTTATCCTGCCCTTTGGATAGTTATGATTAAAGGAGCAACGCTGTGACCACATCCTAAGTGAACTACACCCTTTGTCTCTGTAGGTACTATGCTGCATTGAAGACCATGGAGCAGCTGGAGAAGGTCTTCATTCCCAGGTAGGGTTATTCCTGATGGAACAGCTTCTTCCTTTGCTGTAGTTTCTCGTACAATTGAGAGGTAATGGTGGGTGATCTGATGTCAAAGGTATGATGTAAAAATATGCATGTAAACTGTGAGGTGAGCGTGTATGAGATTTAGGACCCCATGAAAGTGAAAATAAATCCGCTGAATGCATCCACTCTACTCCTGATTTGTGTCCCATTTGAGAGAAGAAAACATATTTTGAGAGCCTCAGATTAATCTCCATTGATGTCAGCAGTTTTACCAATACCGGACTGCTCAGTCATTTCACCTGAGTATTAGTAGCTTGACATGAATCACCTCAGCCACCTTTGATTTGGTAGATTTATCAAACGAGAGAATGCTGGTTGGATCCGACGGAACTTTTGTCTGATCCAACCAATTTGAACTTTTTGTTTCTGCTGTGTCTCCTGCAGGGTAAGTCAGTACAGGTTCTGTCAGATCATGGCTGAAAACCTGCCCCGGCTGAGAGAGGAGATCAAGGAGATCTCCATGTCCGACCTCAAGGACTTCCTGGAGAGCATCAGAAAACACTCCAACAAGATTGGTGAGACCGCCATGAGACAGGTATGAGAGTTTGTGTTTTCCAACAATTTCCACTGTATATATGAAAATGTCTTGTTCAAAGGGTTTGATCTGTGTGTGTCTCTCCAGGCACAACAGCACAGGACCTTTAACAGTGCAGTAGCCAAGCAGGCTAGTATTGGCCACTACTCCAATCCCGTTTACTCCCTCAATGGACGAGCACACACTCACAACGGCCTGATGATGAACGACGAAGCAGGAGAGGAGGAGGAAGCAGATGAAGAGGTATGGGAACATGTTGTGGTCAGCCGTGGCGAAACGTCGTCATGCAGAAGAAACAGTATTCCCCTTTTCCCAAACTGGGTTGTAGTTGGTTCACTTCTGTCTTATGTGATGGCAGCTAAAGAGTCAACGGCTGTGCATTAATGCCATTGCTTTGTCAGTAAAGGTTAAATAGGTTTCAGAGTTGTGATAAAGGCACTTTTAGTGTCATGTTGCATAATCAAATGCCCCATTTATAGTGTAAAGTAGCTCTCTAAGATAACTGTCACAGTACACTTATTTTTATGCTACTTTTTTCATTGGTTGCTGTAGTCAGAATGAGTATAAATAACTGTACGACTCCTCCTCTGTCTCTGACAGGTTCTTACAGCTCAGGACCTGGTGGACTTCTCACCTGTCTACAGGTGTTTACACATTTACACTGTGCTGGTAGGTGTTTCTCTGTCTCTCTCACAACCACACACGTGCACTAACACACAAAGTGGATCAAGGCAGCAATGTGGTGCAGCAGCATTACATTTCCAGGATTTAACAGGATTAATACATTTTTGACTGGCTATTTCTGCCTTAATGTCACTTCACCATGGATATCACAGACGCTGAAAGATTTACTGTCGTGTCAGAGGACAGGCAGAAACGGGTTCAAGTCCTTCATATTGCTAATCTTATTTATAATAAGAATAATGGTTTAGGTATTTTGTAACGTCCCTTAACGAGTGTCTTACATTCTAGCAATACGTTGGTTATCACCTACTTATTGATAGCTAGCTACTATGGCCATTCTTTGGCGTTTTTAGGAGGAGGAGGGGGGGGGGGGGTTATGGGTGCATAAAAGATGTATATTTTTTCCCAAATGGGCTCTTTTACATGTAAGTTGCGCTTTCTTTTGTGACTCGTATAACTCTGCGTTGTATGAAACGACCTTCTCCATTTTGGTATATTTTTGGGCCACCAGTAACTAAGTTAGTAGTAGGTTGAGAGAATAGAACTCCAAAAGACATCCTTTTCCCAGTGTTGCATGTAAAAAAAGTGGCTGAAGGTTAAAAAAAAAAAATCAAGTGTGAGGAGAGCGTCTCTTTCACTACCACGGCTATTGAAAGATCCATAGTTCTTTTGAATTCTATGCCACTGCAAAATACATTTTGAATATATTGTTTCTATTATTTGTATTTTAAATACAGATTATTGATACAGATTGTATTTCTCTGTGTCTGCAGGGTGACCGAGAAACATTTGAGAACTACTACAGAAAACAGAGAAAGAAACAGGCCCGGCTAGTGTTACAGCCACAGGCTAACATGGTGAGGAACACACAAGCAGACTCCGAGCGTATGTCACAGCGTGCATGAAACCGAAGGAATGCTTTTTGGGGAAATTCAGAGAGTTCACAGCAGGAATTCCCATTTCTTGGCTACACTAAGCCATCTGCAGCTTGCTTTAAGCTGCAGCAAAACGAAACTTCCAACTATCACTTAAGTAATATTTGAAAGGTAGTCAGGCCTCAACAGGAATTATTTGTCTGTATGTGTGAGCAACGGACTGCGTAAATAATTCTTTGTTAATTAATAATGCATTAACACATTCTACAACACTCAAAGCCCTAATACAACGTGATGTATTATGCAATCCTGCCCTGTGTGCAAACATGGCTCTCTGTGTGTTTGTTCAGCATGAGACCGTGGAAGGCTACAGAAGATACTTCAATCAGATAGTAGGGTAAGATGTTCCTCTCAAGTTACAACCTTCTTTGTGTGCACATTGCGGAGAATTCTCCATTCTCACTTTGCGATTTGTATAGGACTTTTTTGTTGGATATTTGTTATTTTGAGTTAAATGGTTGTTAGCCGTCTAAAGCACACAGTTAAATTATATATTTTTGAATAATTTTTGCTAGCCAACTGTTGATGGAGCTAATTGAGGAGTATTAATTGATCCCTAATCTCTTCATTTTAATCCCTTATATGTTAGAAATTAAGTCACTTTGTGTATTTAAAATTTCTATGTTTTTACACGCCACATTGTGGGCTCAAAGTACTTCCGTTAATTAGCTAACGTACTAGCTAACTGGCTACCCATATGGCACATTTCAAGTCGTATGCATTTGATAAATTAATGGATTTATTTGCCAAGTGAGTGGATTATGTTGGCTCATGATATGGTAGAAGGTCAGTTTGTAGCTACAAATAACTAATCTATTTCCATTTAATTCTCAAGGAAGGTTTTCACTTTGTCCAACCTTTGTCCTCAGTCCTGTGTGTTTTGATGCAAGAATAAATACATTATTTGAGTGGTATCTTTTTGTGTGCGTCAGGTTCTTCGTTGTGGAGGACCATATCCTCCACGCCACACAGGGTCTGGTGACCAGAGTTTTCACTGATGAACTGTGGAACATGGCCCTCTCCAAGATCATCGCTGTGCTCCGCACACACTCTGTAGGCCCTCACACACATTTGCACACGCACATGCATGTACACACACAGAAACAGCTGGATATATTTGGTTAAGAAGGAGACTGTTAAAGGTTAATAGAGATAATAGAGCTTGCTGCTGATCTATTTATCCTGGTAGATCCTTCTTTCACTGGCTGACTTTCTCTTACACACACACACACTCACACAACACCCTAATGATGTCACTCTCAAGAGAAAAGGTCAAAACACACATACGCATGCTGCCGAAGAGGAGGTCATTGGGGCCTTAATGAGAGACAGATTGAAACAATAACAGCAGATTAAGAAGGCATATTCCTAACCGCTGGGCTCTAGTCACTTGTAAATGACCCAGAGGATTATGTTAACAGGCCAGAGAATGGGCCACACAGCATGGGGCGGGGCGACTAACAAAGACCACTGGTCTCCCTCCTGGCCTGGAGCCCCTCTGCTGGGCCATGATACCGGCAGCTCAACGCTCCTAGGGGTCCTGCCCTTCCAACCACTGCATGGCCAGCCTACATGGTAGAAAGTCTAGGTGGTAGAAATGGTGGTTAAACATCTTGTGGACCTCAGATCAGACAATACGAGATACGACATGGTAGAAAGTGTTTTTTGCGCACAGACCACTAATAATTTATTCTAAAAAGGTCCTCAAATGTAGGACAACAAATACAATTCTAATGGTACTCATATATATTTCAAAAGACAACTGTTTTTACTTTACCTTACTTAATGTAGCTACAGTAAATGGATGACTACGTCATATTAACACATGGATCAGAACATTGTACATCATTATCCACATCCCTGTCACTGCTGTGATTTGCGGCTGCGTGACCAAGTCTCTAGCCGGTTGTTGGTGTGTGTGTGTGTGTGTCTGAGTAAACAAAGAGGCAGGCAGCCACGCTTTACGTTAAATCTCAGCCTGCGTTCATTTGCTCAGTTGATTTACACACTCCTGCGTTTGTCAGCATCCTTGTGTCTGCCTTAAGGGACTCCACTGTGCTGCTTTCAGGGTCATAAATCACTCGGCACTGCAGAAAAAAGGAGAGACTTTGTTGGTGTAGATTGACCCTTGACTAAGCCCCTCCCCCTCGTTGCTTTTGCGTCGTCTGTCAAGCTGTGTCCGATAACTTTATTCCCTGATCCACTTTTCTCTACGTAATCATGAATAGTAAAGTAGATGTATCCTTGATTGACAGCTACGTTAGAGAATCCTTGCTGTTGCTTTGAACAACACAGTGCTTCATAAATGTCTAAAAAATGCTCATGAATTGTTACAATGTTATTTATACCACTGTGTCATTATTATTATTTTCCCTGCATGCAACTTTGAATGTTATTTGCTGATCATGGTGATGATAATGTTTTTTATTCAGTCATACTGTGATGACCCAGACCTGGTCCTGGAGCTGAAGAACCTCATAGTCATCTTCGCTGACACACTACAGGTGGATTTAAAGCTGTACGTTATTTGAACATCTGGGGACTCAGGCCATCTGACATTAACACACTTGTGAATGTGATATTTGTTTTCAAAGGGTTATGGTTTCCCAGTCAACCGACTGTTTGACCTGCTGTTTGAGGTCAGGGACCAGTACAATGAAACTCTCCTGAAAAAGTGGGCCCTGGTTTTCAGGTGGGCTTCTCCGATGTTTGTGACTGTTTGTCTATTATTACATTTCTTACTTTTTACAAGTGAGATGTACCTGATGAAACCAAGCAGGTAGGTAAAACCTGGTGTGGGTGGGTGGCATGCTCACTTGTGTAGATTATTTTGCGCAACAAAATGTGCGACTATCATAAACGTTGAGAGTAAATCTAAAAACTAGTGGAGCATTCCCATCGAAAGAGAGAAGAGGTTGAGGTATGTCTCAGAAATATGTCACTGTGGCACTCTGGGGTTTTCAGAGAGTCATTTAAATGTGTTCAAAGATCAGATGGTTGTCTTAACATGTGTGCAAGTCTTGACAGTTTATACTGTAGTTAAGTACAGGTGCAGCTACATTTTATTGTCATCTTTGAACGACATCTGATACTTACATTTGAACAAACTGTACTTTGAGTGGTAATTAAGAGTCGCCAAAACAATGATCGATCAAAATCTCTAATCATGTGTTCACAAAGAATGAATTGTGTTCTTCAAGGAGATCTTTGAGTTGGACAACTACAGTCCCATCCCAGTGGAGACAGAGGAGGAGTATAAAACTGGTAGTCAGCCGCTTTCCCTTCCACGATGCTGAGATTGAGAAGGTAACATGCCGGTACACTCCAAAGCATATTATTAAGGATAGCACCCAGAGGACTCAAGTGCACGACTCGGGGAAACTGATGTTAAAGTCACAGATTTTAATATAATTTATTATAAAGGGTTTTATTCTTAGACGTGGTCGAAAAGAGGAAAGGTTTGGTACACATGACTGGTGGAAGGCAAAAGTACAGAAGGGCTAGAATCCAAAAACGTGTTCAAGAAACTCCCAGGACTGGCAACAAACACCAGAGCATGACACTTAAGAGCAAGTACACAAGGGAAGGAGTCAAGGAGACACAGATGGACACAATTAGGAAGGGGAGCTGCAATCAGCCCACTGGAAAGACGCAAGGGCAGAAAGTCAAGACTCCTGAAACAAGAGGGGGACATGCTGATTGTAAAAGGAAAATCAAGGAACAGTGAAAACTGAGATAAATAACACAAAATAGTTAATTTCCTAGACAAACCCTGACACCTAAACATCCAAGGCCAGACATCAAGTTCGGATTACTTTGTAGTGCAATTTATAGAGACACTAGGTATTCTGTAGTGTCAGTGTTAAACTTAATGTACTGATTATATGACTTGCCTAGAGTCTAAGTATCTCTGGGCCACATCTTGAAAAAAAACCTTCAACTACACTAACCCTCCCTAACCTTCCACAACATTTGTATTCACACCCTAACATGGAAGCAAATGATTGAATTGACCTAACCTAGTTCCTTATATTATGATGATAGTCTTTTAAGAGTCATTTAACAAAGTGTGTGTGTGTGTGTGTGTGTGTGTGTGTGTGTGTGTGTGTGTGTGTGTGTGTGTGTGTGTGTGTGTGTGTGTGTGTGTGTGTGTGTGTGTGTGTGTGTGTGTGTGTGTGTGCGCGTGTGTGTGTGTGTAAGCAGCAGGACTTTCCAAAGAAGCTACCAATGTCCCAGTCCGTCCCTCAGATCTACACTCAAGTCAAAGAGTTAATTTATGCCAGCCTCAAGTTCTCTGAGTCACTACACCGGAGGTTGGTCTTGTGGAACGATATAATTTTTCCCCTTTCAGTATGTTTAAGTGGACCCTAGACACCTACAGTTTCAATCCTCCTGACTGTTTGCCTCTTTATTGTGGAACACCAATTACATCTGGACTTTTTAGAAGAAAGGTTTGTTTGTGTATCCAGTTCTACAGAGATTGACGACATGTTGCGAAAATCCACCAACCTGCTGCTGACAAGAACACTCAGCAGCTGTCTGCAAAGCCTCATCAAGAAACCTCACATAGGACTGACTGAAGTAAGAACAACCCTGCTGTTACTAATCATCATTTACACCAAGATGTAAGGCCTTTAGTCTGAATTTGTGACCTTTTCTGTGTAGCTAGTGCAGATCATTATCAACACCACCCACCTGGAGCAGGCCTGCAAGTATCTGGAAGAGTTCATAACAAACATCACCAATGTCTCTCCTGAAACCGTACACACCACTAGACTTTATGGCTTGTCCACGTTCAAGGTAAATGTAGATTCTTCTTTGTGTTTAGCATATACTTTGTTGCCATGTTTCTGTATCTCATTATTTATATATATTTATCTAAATCACACAAACTGACCCTTCGGGAACCATGACTTTATCTTAGTGGAGAGGTTTGCGTGTCCATATGAACCTGAGCTATGTTGTCTGGAGCCTGGTGCTCCCGGTAGGGTTACCTTTGAAAGGGGTCTCAGGCGAGGGGCCAGACTAAGAATGGTTTCACAAAGCCCCTTTGAGAAGACCTACCTGGCCCGGAGGAAACCCAGGGCCCCCATTTGGAGCCAGGGCCAGATATAGAACTCGAGACCGTGAGCGTCTGGTGGCTGGCCTTGCCCCGGAGACCGGCTAGGCACAGCCCCAAGAAGTGACGTAACAACCCTGAGGGGGAAACCGATGGAGCTGTTGTCTGAGCGGTTGTCTGTGTGCGTATGCACCAAATGGCAGTTTGGAGTATGCAGCCTTTTCGGAGACCCTGAATGGAGCCCCGCTTGGGGCTCCAGTAGGGGACTCCATCGTCCTCCTGGGAGACTTCAATGAACACCCAGGCGACAATGGAGATAACTGGAGAGGCGTGATTCTTTTTTTTATTGGACTTGCCAGTCACAAATTGTTCATAATAAACAGCAAGTTCGAATATATAATTTTCCTAAATCTACTTGGCACCAGAGTGTCTTAGATTGAAGATGGATGATCGATTTTGAAATCGTATTGTCAGATCTGAGGTCCACAAGATTTTTAAGTCACACCTCTGGCGGAGATTCTGTGGAAGTAGGGGTTATTGAACCAGAGTGGTGTATGTTCAAAACTTCAATTGCTGAAGCTGTGGTGGTGAGTTGTGGCCTCAAGGTTTTAGGTGCATCAAGGGGCGGTATCCCTCGAACACTGGTGGACAATGGTGGTCAGTGGTCATCGTCAATTTTCCTAGTGGAAGTCATGGAAGTAGTCAAACAGCTCTGCAGTGGCAAAGCCCCGGGGATGGATGAGATCCGTCCAGAGATGCTGAAAGCAATCAGTGATGGGGGGCTTTCTTGGATGACGCGCTTCGTCAAGATTGCGTGTAAGTCTGGGACGGTACCAAAGCAGTGGAAGACTGGAGGGGTGGTACCAGAGACTGTGTCCCAATTACAGCGGTATCCCACTACTTAGCCTCCCTGGTAAAGTCCATTCCTCCAACTCTCACTGGCGCGGTTCGCCGCCATGTGTGAAGCGGTTGGGATAAGGATCAGCACCTCTAAATCAGGCCATGGTTCTGCACACACTGCATCAGGGATTTTGTCCCACTCCTCGACACAGACCTTCTCCAGATCCTTCAGGTTTTGGGGCTGTCGGTGGGCAACACAGACTTTCAGCTCCGTCCAAAGATTTTTTTATTGGGTTCAGGTCTGGAGACCGGCTAAGCCACTCAAAGACCTTGAGATGCTTCTTACAGAGCCACTCCTTAGTTGCCCTGGCTGTGTCCTTCAGGTCGTTGTCATGCTGGAAGACCCAGCCACGACCCATCTTCAATGCTCTTACTCAGGGAAGGAAGTTGTTGGCCAAGATTTTGCGATGCATGGCCCCATCCATCCACCCCTCAATGCGGTGCAGTCGGCCTGTCCCCTTTGCAGAAAAGCATCCCCAAAGAATGAGGTTTCCACCTCCATGCTTCACGGTTGAGATGGTGTTCTTGGGGTTGTACTCATCCTTCTTCTTCCTCCAAACACAGCGAGTGGAGTTTAGACCAAGAAGCTCTATTTTTGTCTCATCAGACCACATGACCTTCTCCCATACCTTCTTGGGATCATCCAGATGGTCATTGGCAAACTTCAGATGGGCCTAGAAATGCGCTGGCTTGAGCAGAGGGACCTTGAGTGCGCTGCAGGATTTTAATCCATGACGGTGTAGTGTGTTACTAATGGTTTTCTTTAAGACTGTGGTCCCAGCTCTCTTCAGGTCATTGACCAGGTCCTCCCGTGTAGTTCTGGGCTGATCCCTTTCCCCAGGATCATTGATGCCCCACGAGGTGATATCTTGCATGGTGCCCCTGACCGAGGGAGATTGACCGTCATCTTGAACTTCTTCCATTTTCTAATAATTGCACCAACAGTTGTTGCCTTCTCATCAGCCTATTGTCCTGTAGCCCATCCCAGCCTTGTCCAGGTCTATCATATTATCCTTGATGTCCTTATGCAGCTCTCTGGCCTTGAGCATTGTGGAGAGGTTTGAGTCTGTTTGATTGAGTGTGTGGACAGGTGTCTTTTATACAGGTAACCAGTTCAAACAGGTGCAATTAATACAGGTAATGATTGGAGAACAGGGAGACCTCCTAAACACAAACTAACAGGTCTGTGAAAGCCGGAATTCTTACTGGTTGGTAGGTGATCAAATGTCAGGAAATAAACTGCAAAATATATATTTTTAAATCGCACATCGTGATTTTCTGGGTTTTCGTTTTAGAGTAAGTCACTCACAGTTGAAAACCACCTTCCAATGCATGTGTATGCATGTTTTTTGTATAATTTATACATATGGCCCATGGTTTGGACTACTAAAGGAATACATTTTTCATAATCTATGCAACAGAACCAAACATGTTCCAACAGTTGAAAGGTGTGGATAACAGTAGCATAACAACTAGTGCTGCTGCTCGCACAAGCTAATGGGTTTCTTTATTCGGCAATGACTGAAGGTAAAACTATTTTAGTCCTATAAAGTATTAAAAAGGGCTTCTGAAATGTATTTTCTAGGATGCTCGTCATGCTGCAGAGGGAGAGATTTATACCAAACTCAACCAGAAGATTGATGAGTTTATCCAGCTAGCAGACTACGAGTGGGGAATGTCTGAGTCGGACGGCCGGGCCTCTGGATACCTCATGGACCTGATAAACTTCCTGCGTTCCACTTTCCAGGTCTTCACACATCTCCCGGTGAGTCTGATACCTCATCCCGTGAGGAGACTAAGGTGGCGGGCTGATCGGGTTACTGTAGGACAGTGCATCCTTGGTTCTGGGGACCCATTTGGTCTTTTTCACTTTTGACTTTTTTTTGTTTATAATAGGGATTTGATTTTTTTTATGTATTTCCATTTTCCCCGAACCGCAACTGTTGTTTGGCTAAATGTTCATCCCATTCCTATTAGATATTTTTACTGTTTATAAGGGAGTTGATGTATGTTGTGAATGTAAAGGTGAACTGAGTATGTGTGCAACGGGGATCTGAAATGGTGACCTAACTACAGTGTGTTCACAATTATCAGGCAAGTGAGTATTTTGAGCATATCATCATTAGTTTGCATATTTCCCAACTCCAAGCTGTTTAAACTTGAGTGCTAATTGGATTTAGGCCTAGCCGGAGATGTGTATTTGTGTAATGAGGGATGGTGTGGTCTAAGGAGATCAACACCCTATATAAAGGTGTGCATCATTATTAGGCAGCTTCTTTTCCTTAGGCAAAATGGGCCAAAAAAGAGATCTAACTGACTGAAAAGTCAAAAATTCAGAGGGAAGCAGCACTCTTGAAATTGCGAAGATGTTGGGGCTTGATCACAGAACAATCATTCGTTTTGTTGCAAACAGTCAAAAGGGTCTAACGTGAAGCTATTAGAAACCCATTATCCTCCAGTGCTGCCATTCCAGAACTGCAACCTACCTGGAGTGCGCAGAAGTACAAGGTGTTCAGTGGTCAGAGATATGGCCACGGTAAGGCAGGCTGAAACCCGACCACCACAAGGTACATAGGTTGAAACGTCGAGACTGGGTCAAGAACAATCTGAAGACCGATTTTTTTTAAAGGTTTTATGGACTGATGAGATGAGGGTGACTCTTGGCAGAACCGATGGATGGGCTCATGGCTGGATCAGTAACGGGCACAGAGCTCCACTTCGGCTCAGACAAGGTGGAGCTGGGGTTCTGGTATGGGCTGGTATTATTAACTAATTATTAACACCCAGACCTACTGCCAGTTTTTAGAAGACACTTTCTTTAAACAGTCTGTATCTTTCAAGAATGCTAGACAATGCTCCATCACGTGCATCGAAATATTCCACTGCGTGGCTAACCAGTAAAGGCCTTAAAGGTGAAAAATAATGACATGGCCCCCTTCCACACCTGACCTATACCCTATGGAGAACTTGTGGAGCCTTCTTAAATAAGAGATACACATAGGAAAATTCTGTGTGCGTTGGTTTATTATTCTCACTTAACGGATGGAAATAAACAAGTGAGATGAGTAATCTTTCGTTTTTTTAATTTACTTGCATAATAATTGCGCCCACTAATAGTTGCCCAATAATTGTGCACACATAGATATTCTCCTAAGAAAGCTAAAACCTCACTTTTATTTTCTTAAATATTCAGGTTTGGAGTTTATTGTTATTTTGGATTGACCGAGAGCACTGTAGTTGTTCAATAATGAAAAACAATCCTCAAATATACAACTTGTCTAATAATTGTGCACACCGTGTACGCTGCTATTGACTTGTCAATACATATAACACATAACAGTATTTACAGTGTTGACGACTGGATCAGTAAAAGCTTTTTGGTTCAGCTTAGCTGACAAATACAGCTTGTTCAGTTCCTCATTCAATGGACCACTTGCCTGCTCTTCTTTCCTCCATCTCTTATCATGTCCTGAATGAGTTCTAGCTTATTTCCATTTTTCCAAGAATCTCTCCTGTCCCTGATCCACACCCCTGGTAATAACAGTACTGTAACAAATTTGTTTTACTAACAGTTTTATTCCTTGCTTGTTAAGCATGCGCGATATCTCCAGTTGAATTTACCACCTCCTGTCCATTTATTGTTGCCACATTTCTTTTCCTGTCCTTTCCCTCTTTCCCTTCCTCTCTGCCATTTTGGGTTGGTTTGGGGGTGTCTCTGCTCAGAATAACAACAATGACCATGCGTCGATGTCGGTGAGTATTCCTGTCTTGCTGTTATAATACTATGCTGTCATTTTAAGGGCCAAAGGGAGATGAAAAGCATGCTAATGTTTGACTGTGGAAGCTCCACTACTCCAGGCTTGTTGGTTCTTCTTTTACGTTTTTGCATTGGACCAAGCAGCAACCACCTCAGCTGAAAGCTAAAGCAACAGGGGAAGAGCCTCTGAATGCTGCTAGATTTTGCTGGCCAGTAATGATTATTCACTTATCCCAAATCATCGTCTCTCTTGGAGTACAATGTCAATCTTGTTCAGCCAACAAGACATTGCTCAAGTGACTAATTTTACTTGCTTTAATTGGCATTTCTTTTTTTCTGGGGAGGACATTACAATTGGTACAATACCAGTCAAACGTTTGGACACATTTTCTCATTCTGGTACTGGATGAATACAAAACTTATTTTTATTTTTAATTACTTAAAAACGACTAATAATAATTTGCAATTTTAATGCACTTGGCAGTGACAGTGGGGGGTCTAGACGGAACAGACCTGGGCGGCAGATACTGGCTCTGGGGACGTGGAACGTAACCTCTCTGGGGGGGAAGGAGCCGGAGCTTGTGCGGGAGGTGGAGCGTTATCAGTTGGATCTGGTGGGGCTTACCTCTACGCACAGCCTCGGCTCTGGAACCACACTCCTGGATAAGGGATGGACTCTATTCTACTCCGGAGTGGCCCATGGTGTGAGGCGCCAGGCGGGTGTGGGGATACTCATAAGTCCCCGGCTGAGTGCTGCTACATTGGAGTTTACCCCGGTGGAAAAAAGGGTCGCCTCCCTACGCCTTCGGGTGGTGGGGGGGAAAACTCTTTGACTGTTGTCTGTGCATATGCACCAAACAGCAGCTCAGAGTATTCGGCCTTTTTGGAGACCCTGAATGGAGTCCTGCATGGGGCTCCAGTAGGGGACTCCATGGTCCTACTGGCAGACTTCAATGCGCACGTGGGCGACGATGGAGATAACTGGAGAGGCGTGATTGGGAGGAATGGCCTCCCTGATCTGAACCCGAGCGGGTGTTTGTTACAGGACTTCTGTGCTAGTCACGGATTGTCCATAACAAACACCACGTTCGAACATAAAGATGTTCATAAGTGTACGTGGTACCAGACCACCCTAGGCCAAAGATCAATGATCGATTTTGTTTGTTTGAATAGTTCCTGATGTACGTTACGAAGCAAACATGCATCATTTACATGACCTTCGTAACTTGTGTCACATAGGTAACCTACTTAATATTGAAAACCGAATCACCCTTTTGTCTTCTTAATCTTATTTGATGCACCACCAACCGATTCTGTTGTTCACTTTTCCGTCTCAGAGAATGTTTAGCTGAAAGTCAAGTGGTCTTTGTCCATATATATGAACTTCTTCTGTCCTTCTCATCCCTATCCTAATCTCTCCTACACCTTTCCACCCGTCCCTCCTCTTTTGCATCACGTCATCCTTCCTCTCATCCCGCCTTCCTCTACCTCCTTTCCCCTAACCCTCCTCCTGTAGGGTAAAGTGGCCCAGACGGCTTGTATGTCAGCCTGCAAGCACCTGTCCACATCACTGATGCAGATGCTGCTGGACACAGACCTCAAACAGATCAGTATGGGGGCCATTCAACAATTCAACTTGGATGTCATTCAGTGTGAATGTAAGTACAAATACATGTCATGTTGAAAGTAAAGGAACCCTGCTACAGGACTTTTTCATGAACTGTGTTTCAGCTACGTCCATCGTGTTTACATGTGGTCCGGCACTAAGAAGCTGACCAGGAGACATTGTTATGTGTACTTTATTGTGTTGGTGTATTTGATTATTTCTGTTTCCTGTCAGTGTTTGCCAGTTCCGAGCCTGTCCCTGGCTTCCAAGGAGACACACTCCAGCTGGCTTTCATCGATCTTCGACAGGTAAACTGTCTCACAGCGCTTTAGAGAGGAGATCAACAGTCTTAGCCAGTACTAGTTATTTCAATATTATTATTTTATTATATTAATATTAATTAAAATATTTTTCTGAAATGTGTCTCATGGTTATGTTTTGAATTCCTAGCTTACTTTTGTTATGTGTACCTTAATGAATAGTAAGACAATACTTGTTCCAGTGTTAACTGATTTTTTCCCTTCATTTGGGCTATTTCTGCATAAGTTAAAAAAATAAAATAAAAATAAAATATTTGGCTCGTAGATGAAGTGTGCCGAAAAAAGGCAGGTTTGCTCAACATTTGGTGGGGTTTTGAAAATATTGTGAATATAATATTGCCAAACAAGCTGTTATTTGATGGTCAAAAGCACGGATACAAAATGCTGTAGTGTCTTGATTGTGTCCACTCAATATGAAATATCAAATTGGATATTTCATTAAATTGTTATTCGTGATCAAGGAGGACCAACTTACCTTGACGTTATTCTTATTGGCACTTACATATTAATTTGAGTTGCCGGGCGGCATGGTGATGTGGTGGTTATACTGGTTCAGACCACCCCCCCTCCCTTCCTCCCCACCCACACACACAGCTTTCTGGGTTGAGTTTGAATGCATGGGTTCTCTCCAGGTCCTCCAGCTTCCTCCTACAGTCCAAAGACATGCAGGATAGGTTAATTGTTGACTCTAAAATTGCCCATAGGTGTGTGAATGGGAGAGGGTCTCTATGTCACCACTGCGATTGACTGGCAACCAGTCCAGGTTGTTACCCGTCTCTCCCCCGATGCTAGCAGAGATCGACTCCAGCACCCCCGCGACCCTTGATGGAGCAGCGGTATAGAAGCTGGATGGATGGTATTTTTTGTATGATTCGGCTGTCAGGATGACTGCTGTCTTTGTGGGTAGCTATAGCCTCACATTGGGTCATCTGGTGCTGATATCCCTCATGGACTGCTTTTATGCAAAATTGTTGCAAATTTGTTTTTGCACACAGAGCTACTTTTTGAATGAGTCACGCTGTCAATGCGATCATGGCCTGGGGATGGTGTGGAAGACACTTGTCCTTTTTAAGGACATGTGTTTAGAAAAGACGTGTCAAACTCAAGGCCTGCCGTACAATTATATCAAACCCTCAAAAAAAAGTAATTTGTCGATCATGACTGGCCCGCCGGACAACAGGACGCACACGGCCGAAACTAAGAGTCCCATGAGGGACTCCTCAAAGGTCGGCAGTCATCTACACTCTAACTATAGCTCTAACTTTTAATTTAATTTTAATAAGCCATCAAAAAGAAATGGAAAATGAAGAGTGCTCTCTGAAAACAGGAGCTTTCAAAGACATGTGGGAAGCAGAGTATCTGCTTACCAGCATGAGCGGTAAAGCAGTTTGCCTTGTTTGTGGAGCTGAAGGTTGATAGTATGTTGAGATCTTCTGCTGTAATTCTCCAGCATTCAGAACCATACAATAGGATGGATAACACACAGTTCTGATACACCAAGTTTGGTCACGGTGGTCTATACTGCTCTGACCATATGTTATTGGGTACTTTTGAAAGGGTCTATTGCCTTATTAAAAGGGTCAAATTATGAAAAATCCCACTTTGATAAGTTAATGTGGCTGTCCGGCTTTTTTACCAACCCTCAAATGCTGGGAAAAAAAACACTTTTTATTTTGATTCTTGTAATGAATTAGTTTTGTTTTTTTTAACCCTCTCCCCCACATCCTGACGCACTCAACTTTGTTTCTTGCAAACAATAGAATGTTGGAATTAAGTTGGAATAATATTGGTCTGGTTTGGGGGGGGGCTTAAAGAGAAAAGCGCTAAATCGGAACGTTTCAGAATATAGGGATACACTATATACACTATTCACTTAGACAATACGAGGAAAATGATATGCTTTTTAATATCAAAGCATATGAACGTGTGGAGGTGGAAACCGTAAATGCAAGAATGAGTCCTAAAATGAGCATGAAATGTCTCCTTTAATACATTCTTTGTCTTTACGTAAAACAATGTTGCCCATAAACATGTATTCTTTTGCACTTTGTCCTATATCCCTTGTGTCCCATGTATTAAATGTGGACCCTTTATGGCCCTAAACATAGTCACAGTTTTAAATTTTGGTCCGCTCTGAGATTAAGCTTGGCACCCCTGGGTTAGAGCTAACCAGTTCCAATACTCTGGTTTCATAAGATGCCATGTTGTTCCACTGAATATTCTGAGTATTTCTCTCCACTGACACATACAGTATTTGCCCTTGACTAAGTCTCGCCCCTCAAACGCATACGTACAAATTACGTCATCCAGCTCTGACCAGACTGTGCTCTAATTTACGCTTTTCGTTTTTTTATTTCTTCATTTCCAGGCTTCTTTAGTGGAGCCTTGTCATCGATAAACTTAGTATTACAGTATAGATATAGATGAATAGATCTTTCATTTTGAACCACTGTGACCGTAGTCAAAGATCTACGGAGCTTTACAGGAATAGTGTTGAACAGTTATGTTTCCTCTCGATCTCCAGGTAATGTGGTGGTTCACTTTTAATCTGTGATTTTGTAGCTTTTGCTATAATAAGCTCTTTACCTTTTTACCCTGTTTTCCCTACTGAATCAGTTTAACTCGATAATATCTATTTAGAAGATGCAGTTTGTCACAGTGTGGGCTCCACAGTGGCTGTGACGGCAAATGGATTATTCAGCTTTTAACTGTTTACAGCCAAGTTTTGATTCAGGAAACAAAGATGATAAAAAAACAAAGCCAGAACGAACTAATAATGAATATTTTGTTTCAATTTTCTATGGCTTCTGTCCTTTTCCATCATTTTCCACTCCACTTCTCAGCTGTCTCACACCTCACCTCTCAATACCATACTGTGTTTCACTGGCTGCCACTTCGGTCTGTGCATTACCTTTTCAACTTTCACCTCTTATTCAAGGTTCACCAGTGCAAGAAAATTCCTATTCACAAGAACAAATCCTGTGCCTTTCTTTCTGTCGTGAACACCAGTGGTATGTAAAGTGTTGCCGGGTCTCATTAACTGGTGTGTGTGCGCTGATCTGTTAATCTGAGCCTGGGGTGGAGGCGTGGCTTTGCATCCAGTCCAGGTCATAGCACTATACTGAGCACTATACTGAGCACGTTTGTTGAAAACATTGAAGAAGACTGAAAACTTAAGGGGAATATTTGCCGCTTTTTATGTGGAATTCCAATAGGCGCTGATAATTAATTAAATTCCCCACTGCATTACAAGACCTCTTTTGGTCATCGTAACAAACTTAATTCCTTTTGGACAGAAACAACGTAAAAACCCACAAATACCATATTGCTTTGTCTTTCCACAAAGATCATCAAGTCTAATGCAAAGTCAACAGGACAACTGAGGCAGTAGAAAAAAAAAGATTTGTAAATTAATATTTTATTTAACTATGATGTATAAACATTGTACCCTGTTGCCGAAGCCTCCCCCCAAGGAGCTGAGCTGAGTGTTGTCAGTGGCAGCTACAGCCCTACCTAGGGCTTCGTTTCCTGTGATGCATCTCATCAGACAACATGCATCCATGTTCCTTTTTGGCTGCCTGGTTGACATGTTAATCCTAGCCTCAGGTAAAGAGTTTGAAAGGCATCCACCGGCTGAGGTTACCCAGAGGTTATCCCTTTACTTTCTCCCCATTTCACGGCTTTGGATTTCAAAGCTATGTCTGCTTTTTAGATCATTATCCTGAAACCATTTTGAGTGATGGAGTCAAATATTTAGTGTAACAGAGGTGTCAGCAAAGCACTCTGATGGGTTTCTGCTGCTACATATATACCAAATCGTATTTCATACAATTTGAAACATGCATATTTATATTTAGATAACCTATCAATTTTTTATATGAGATGGAGATGCTGTTTCTGCATCCAATATTATTTTTCTGTTTTCTCATTTTTTTTAACCAACATATTGTACATATCAGGGGTGAAACTTGGGGCGAAATTTGCCGTTTTGGTTTTAAACTAGGTAATTTGTGTGATTCATCTAGATCTGCAATAAAAATGTTTTTTTTGGGGGGGGGGGTCCGGTCCTCCAAGTAATCTGTGAACGCAAGCTGTCATGAATATTTTTTTCAAGCTTTTTCGTTTGGCCAACTCGTGTCATCATGTCATCTTGGGGTCTATAGCTGCCTAGATGCCGTAATAGACAGGAGTGACGTTGGTACGCTGCAAAAACGTCAGTCTTTCTACCGTAGGCTAACGTGCTAATGTCAGACAGTTGGCTGACAGACGGCTCGCAAATCACATCAACCATTTTTGCTGGTTACTATAACGGTGCTATCGGATAGTACAGTGTCTATATTTCGGGAACTTTTGGAAAATCTAAGCGAGAAAATGACAAATGTACCTACCTTACCTTCAGATTAAAAAATAAAAATAAATAATGGGAAATCAACGGAGAAATCAAAGGCTTACTCTGATATCAATGTAATGTTAGTGAATGAGGGGTGAGAAGCCCCCTCCCTCTTGCTAATATTTATTCTGTTCGTCCAAAGCGAAATCTATTCTTGAGATTCCAAACATTTCCAAAGCCATTTGTCTTTGAATGTGAGTAGTCGATCGAGTTATCTTATGTCCCGTTGTTTGAAGCAAACCTTTAAGCTCTGGCATTGGTCTCCCATTATTTATTTATAACGTCACTGGAATGGAAGTCCATCTTCCAGGCTCTTGCACGCCCCCTTCATTGAGGCAGAGGTTAGGTTTGCCTTCCATATATGCTTTTTCACTGTGGTCAGCAAGACTAAATAGCTTACATACTTGAAATACATGATCTATTCTATGGATACAAAGGACATATAATAAAAGTTTATACAAATATTTCAGTGATGACAAACAATGAGAAAGCAAAAGGCATGCACTCAACCCAGTGTGTGGGGGATTGCACAATCTGAGATGAGGCGCAGCTCGTCGCTGCCTCATCTTGCGAGTCACCTCTCTGTTTGAACACGACA